GACGTACACATATCATTGGACTGAAATTCATAGAAATTTTTAATTTGCAGCGACGAAATTCCTTGAAATTTCCGCATTACGGCAACGCGATAAAAATTCCCAATAAGTGTTCCCAGAATTTCCGCGAAAATATTCCTGAAACCTACAGACATCATTCCTGAATTCAAGACTTTCCTTTGATTTTGAGGATCATGTCACTAGAAATTTTTTACAAAATGACTTAATTTTAACATTGCTTGCTCATTGCATTTCAGAAATGCAGCTGCCTAAAAAAGACACATAGATTCCTAGGCACAACGTTTTTTTTTCTCGGTAAATACAGACAATAGAGAAATGTCAGAGTGGAATTCCCGGATTTTTTTTCACTCTCGATTAATTTTTTAAAGATTCAAATTGATACTTGATTCATTCACATCGTTCCATTCCATCGGGAGATATTGTCGATTGGAGACAATTTTTTATGGTCACTGAAGGAGGCAAACCATTCATCTAAATCTCGCAATAATCTGCGAAAAATCTTATTCATTAATCTATTATTATTGAATTAATCCCATTATGTGTAGATCGCTGAAGAACAACGAAAACGTTCCAAACGTTGAAACGAGTTGGAATGTTTTCTCTCTCCTCCTCCATTTTCTTTCTCACTCGCACTCGTTAAGTTTGGCGGAGGACGGGCACGTGCCAACGCGACGGAGACGACAATGAGTGGGAGCGAGCGCGATACATATTCCTTTCTCACTCAGGGGCGTGAGGGAATAAATATATATAATCGAACATTACTATAGTAAGAAAAAACAAAGTCTGCACAATTATTCAATAGAATCACCGGAAAACTATAGAGTTTTCCAGCGACAGCGCTGGGATTTTCTATGAATTTTTTGACCTACGTGTCAATAATAAATATGTCGAGAAAAAGGAAAAGACTTTTAGATCATTAGATTGTGCATTCATTATACTATTGATTATAATATGTTCGATTTTATATTCCTGACAATTATTACAAAATGCGAGGAGCTACCGTATTGAGAACCCCTTTCCGGTTATCGACAAATTTATGCTCGGGCCCTACCATACCAACAGTTCCGTACGCTCCATCGTAGTCCATGCGCCACCGCTACGAATTTTGATGTTGAACACTTTACATTGGCCCTGCTCATCTCCCCTATAATCTCTGGTTTAGGTATAATACGTCTATGAGAGACCTCATGAAGTTCACGTAATAAACAAATCATCATTAACCTGAGATGGCACCGGCCAAAAATTCTTTTCAAATTTGGTATCTAGAGGTTGGTAGTAAAAAACCTATTTAACGATAAACAAAACATACCGGCGAGAGCACAGACAAAGGATCTCGTTGTTACGTCCACTTAAAACTTGCATCCACAGTTGAATGTGGCATTTGAGGTGCAGAAACGAGATAAGATGGATGAGGGTGGCGACGAAATTTCAATTGATTCGTTGGAAGCATTTGACACATACCACGACGAAGTCGAATTATCAGATATAGATGAAGTCGATGAGGAGGAGTCTTTTGAGGTAACTAGTAATTCCTCCTCGTCTCATCAAGAATATGGTCGTGAGTTCAATTCAGACAACGAAGAGAATCTTAGTCACTCATCGGATGGTAGTACGGAACCATTAGGAGAAATATTGGAAGAAAATAATAACGATCCCAACAATAATATGGAAGGGGGGGAGGGTAATCAAACTGAGGAATTACGGCCAATCGTAGAGCTGCCAGTGAGTCCACAGCCAGGATGTAGTAAGGATTTCAATCGTACTGAGAACGTTGATAGAGTCAGTGGCGATGTACTTAGAGCGGCTGTTAGAATTCAAACATTTTTGCACAATACCTCATACACTCAAATTGTCAGCATTTTGCGAGAACGACCCAACTTTGAACTTGAAGTTAATAAATTGTTTGCAAAACCAGATAACGAAACATCATTAAAGCGAACTCACGATGATGATGACATTTGTCAGATTGAGAAGAAAAGATTGACTCTCCAAATAACGTCCATTACTACACTCAACGAGATGGAAGAAGTGTTGCAAAGCCCAGCGCCTGAAGCGGTTCTTGGTGTTCCTGAAGTACATAACCAAGCCCAGGAGTTAACACCTCCGGAGACTCAAGGTCAACATAATAAAATTTACACTCTTAAAAATAATACACCTATTCGAGTAGATTCAAGTGATGATGAAGATTGGGCTATGAGAGAGTTATCGCATAACATCACTCCACTATGGTCGCGTCCTTTACAAAAAATGTCACCTACTAAAGGTTCTGGCAAAGCAGCTGTAGTTACTAATATCAAAACCAAAGGTTTAAGGCCGAATGAAGCAGCAATGGTAATTTTGCATTTTTTATTACAACATTTTGCAATCTATGTATTAATACCAAGATAGAGAGTCATTGATTTCATTTATCTGGCGTTATCTCTTTCCTTTTTTTCTGGTTTTCAGGATTGGAGAGATTTGAGAGCAGCAAGAGACAATAATGGGATTAGTAAAGAAGTAAACATGAGTGCTAGACCTACTTTGAAGGTCACAACAGCTCCAGCTACAATAGTCCGAGAAGAACAATCAACGACTGTATGTAGTATATAAACCTAATGAATAATTCGAACATATAAAGTGAAATTAATCCACATTTTAGAAAACAGTCATGACATTGGCAGCAACCAATCCAGTTCACGTGAAGAAAGGTGTGGTTAGGGAAATACCCGCTGCTGTAGGGCCTTCCCAAGTTAGTATATGATTGTTGTTGTTGTTTTTTTTCGTATAAAATGCATATTGAATGATTTATTTACATTGCAAACAGTTAGGGCACAAGGTATTGATGCATTTTTTTACGACTGTAAAAGTGACCAGTTTGAAATCTTATTGCTCATGAAGGCTTGGAAATAACCACATGTAAGTCCATATAATGGAGTTAATCTTTAATTTAGATTTTGACATGAAAAAAAAGGTCACCGTCGAGTACAAGTGATGTTTATAGGCATAGCTTTTACCCCTTTTTCACGACGATGATATGAATTTTCAATGGAAATTCAATGGGATATTTGTGCAGATTCGTGTTGTCAGTTTGCTTATACATTTGAATGAAATAGAATATATGAGAGTATTTGCTTCCAGGGACGAGGACGCCCCGATCACAGTCCCATAATGGCAGGCCACACAATGCTTAATGACGTACCTACGAAAATAAAGATTGTAACAAATGGCAGTGGCACCCACGTCATTGCAGCCGATAATTATCCAGCAGCCTTCCCACAAGCTGCTATAATGCAGCCACCTAGGCTTGGACGCTCACCACAATATCAGCCACGTTTTCATTTTCCACCACCTTTTATTGACCCCCAACCGGGATCTTCAACAGCCTTGAACGTGAAAGATCAGCTGCAGCGTGACCTTCGAGAAGCCGATCGTCAAATAGCAGAGAGAATTAATTATCGTATACGTCAAGATGCCGAAAAGCGTCGAGGCCAGTATAATTATATTTCCCCACAGGCTCCAGCAAGAATACCTCCACGTCCAAAGAGGAACATTTCTCCACTTCCACCTCTACCGACCCCAGGACTTGTCGATCAACAAATCTCAGCAGCTACCACTCCACAAATTCCTCTGGTCCATGTCGATGAAGGTCTAGATTTATTTCCCCCAAAAAATTATGGAAAATATTGTCGGGAAATTTACACCAAACTTCGTGCAATGTTTCCAAATATAAAGAAAGGGTATATTAAACGAATTACACCAGCGGATTGGGCACCAAACGTCGCCCATGATGTACAATTTGGTCAAATTGTTGAGCGTTTACTGGCAAATGAAGATTCCTGGGAATTAGATGTTCCGATCGAAGAGCCAGAAGATTTAAGAGGAGCTGCTGGAAATGCACGAACAGTCGATGAAACGTACGAGCATTTATTGGGAATATTCCCTGACGCTGATCCTACATTTTTACGTGATAAAGCTGAAAAAACGTACAAAGATGATCAGGCCTTAGAGGCATTCATTGAGGGAAATCTAAAAACGCATAGTTATCCTACTAGAGAGCAGTACCTTTCGAAAATGAGGATTACCGAAGAGCAGCTGCGTTATACGAACAACTTTACTGTGCCTACATTTCTAGAGAAATTTCCAGATCCATTTAAACACTTTATGGATGAAAAACGAAAGTGTAAGCATGTTACTGTGGGTTTTGAATTCTTGAAAAGTCAATTCAACCGCATAAGAGTTACTACAGTATCTAAAGTATATAATGAAGCTAAATGGAACATGAGTATTGCAGCTGCTCGGCTCAGGGAAATTGGTGCGGATATGAATAGTACCCGAAAATCATCTGAAATTCCAACTGAAGACATTAACATGCTTCAGGAAATGGCCTTTATTCGTCATCAAAACGACATTAAAAAATACATTGATGACATGAAACAAGCAGAAAAAGCTGAATTTGAAAAGTTGAAAAAGGCTAATGAATTGTTGGAATGTCAGTGCTGTTTTGACAATGAATGCATGCCATCAAAGTGCTCAACGTGTGATCAAGGCCATATTTTTTGTAATTCTTGTATCGTGAAAGGTACTGATACCAGGCTGGGTGAGGGAGATACGCATGTGCCATGCTTCCAAGACTGTGGATCTGAATTTAGTTTAGCTACATTGCAAGAAATTTTGAAGCCAACCAAGTTTAGTATTCTTGTGAAGAAACGTCAGGCCGCTGAAGTAGCTGCTGCTGGTTTAGAAGGATTAGTGTCCTGTCCATTTTGTCATTTCGCTTCAATTCCACCTGAGGGTGATAAAGTCTTCAAGTGTCTCAATCCCGAGTGCATGAAAGAGTCGTGTATTCAATGTAAAGAGCCTAATCATGTTCCTCTACGATGTGATGAAGTTGGTAAAGCGGATAAAGCACGTAAATACATTGAAGAAAAAATGACAGAAGCCCTTGCACGTAGATGCTACAATTGCAAAAAGGCATACTTTAAGGAAGAAGGCTGTAACAAAATTGAATGCCCCTGTGGGGCTATCATGTGCTACCTCTGCGACAAAAAGATTAAGGATTACAGTCATTTCCGTGGACAAGGATCCGATGATATGGCCAGATGTCCATTATACAGTGATAATGCTGTGTTGAATGCCGAAACTGTTCGTAGAGTTGCTGATGAAGCCAAGAAAGAACTACTTAGACAAGACCCATCGCTCAATATTGAAACCGATCATCTGTTACCAACTGTTCCTCCACCTTCTGCTGGCCCACATCAGCAGATTCTCCAGCCTCCTCATTACGTAAGTACTTGTAATAAATTTTCACATTAACGAATTTTTGAAAAGATTGTGTACGTATTTGAGAATGCAAAATCTGACACTCTTTAATTGGACATATGACTTCCCACCAAATCATATTGTTGAATTCATTAGTTTTTTTCCACACAACTAAAAAAAGTTATTCCTGTCTTGATACGTATGAAACTATGTCGAGTGTAATGTTTTTTTGTAATATAAGGGAGCGGGATTGAGCTGTTGTCAAGTGCGATACTATCATTTTTTTTCTTTTTGCTTTTTTTTCTCTACTGGTTCCAGTAGTAAACAGTTTTTGGAGGATCTCTAATATGGCTATCTATTAAAAGTTTATTAATAAAAGTAGGAAATGCATCCATGGCCAAATTTTTACATCTTCTACATATGGATACAGAGATACCCATTCTTTGATTCAACCTGATAGGAGACAAACGTCTTGAAATATATTTCCAAGAAAATCAAACAGATTAATTGATCCAATGGTTCTGGCCATTTCAAAATATTGAACAAACAAACTAGTTTCACGCACTAATTTGAATGTACCCAGAACTAATCATCCCATTGCGTCCATCCAAAATACCAAATTTTATTGTCATAAGGTTTAAAATTTTCCCGAGTTCGGAGTTTTTATATTTGTTTATTTATTTCATTCCATATATAGCCCATTAGGGTTTTTACACAATGGTGCTTTGGTGGGCGTATCACAACAATTAAATAATAATATGATGAAATAGTGACATTTGCATGAAAATATTGTTCATGACCATTATACTAATATTTATAGAATTGGAAGATTAAAAAGATATCTTTTCGAACTAGATGCTAGGTTCATTCCGAAAGAGGAAGCAAAATCAAAGAAAATGAGAGTCACACTGAAACAATAATTTCCCTAGGAAAATTGCCTGCGCTGCAGTGGCGATTTACTCCGACTCTTCGTCGGAGGAGTTTTTGTCTTCCTTGTTCCTAATCTCGTTGTTCTCCTCTGTGGCCAGTTTCTCGTAGTGCCATGCATAGTCAGTGAACACCTTTAGCGGTTTACCTTTCAAGGCATTTACCAGCTTCTCTCTCAGGACATCCCCGGTCGCTCCAACTCTCCAGATATGCAGCCAAGATCCAGGCTCCTGTCTACAGAATCTGCAGGAGGAGTTAGCGAAGCCGCGTTTGCTCTGTCTGTCAAGGTTGCCACAACACTATCTGGTCCACTGCGCTTTGATCTTTCCCGGAATGTCCTGGTCCTCCCAGCAGAAGTACTTTCTGAGTCTGCCCTCCCTCCTGTTGTCTTGCTGTGGCAGAAGGATGTTTGGCTGCAGCCAGTCTGGAAAGCCATTGCAGTAGGTGAAGGCCTCGGTTCTCACTCTATCTGCCTCCCGCTCTTGCTTCCGCAGTATTTCACTTGCCCCTAACAGGCGGGTGATGTTTTCTTCATCCTCCGGGTTATGCCACAGCCTTTCCAGCACATCCTCGCAGTTGGCTTCCCGCAGAGTAGTGTTCACTACGGAGGCCTGTTTAGAGGGCTGTCCATTGCTCACGTTCCTCCATTTCTGCAGTAGGTAGATCTTCGGCCAGCGTTCAGGGTCCATCTAGGACGGCGGGATTCTAATCTGATGATGTCGTTAGGAGTATTGCAGCTAACACCTATGCTCATCTTGATTAGTCTTCTATGCACGTGTTTCAAAACCTTGCAATTGGCCCAGCTTCAGATCTCGACTTCGTAAATACACCCCAATTTCGCCAGTGTGTTTTGAAGATAAAGCCGTTTCTTGAGGGACCTGATCTCCGTCCTCCTACACAGTCCGCAGGTTGTGTTCACGAGTCTTTGGGCTTTCGCCGTCATCTCCTGGAGGTGTCGAGTGTGGGTGTTACCAGAGGAGAACTAATACCCGAGGTATTTAAATTCTCTGTCTACCTTGATGTTTTCTCCATTCAGTTGCCAAGTGAGGGCCTTCTTTCTGCGGCCTTTGCTGAACACCATCATCTTCGTCTTCCGGGTGTTGACCCGCCAGCTTGTTTTCCTTCGCGTAAGATTGCAGCGTTTTAAGCATCGCCCTCATTTTCTCCGGCCGCTCAGCTACCAACACCATGTCATCCGCAAATTTCAGCGTGTAGGTTTTAACGTTTCCTATCACTGCTCCCACCACACGACTCTGAAAGGCTTCCTCCATATCGTTGATAATAGAAGGCGAAAAACAGTGGACTGAGAGGCCAACCCTACCGGACTCCATATCTAGTGACAAAGCTCTCAGAGATTTTCTTTCCGGTCACAATGTCATTTTCCGTGTGAGCAAAGATTCCTCCAATCATCTTGTGCACCTGTACTCTTACTTCGAGCTCCCATCATTTGTCGCCGAGAATGACTCTGTCGACCAAATCGAAGTCTGCTTCAAAATCCACGAAAGCAGCGTTCTTTGCCTCCTTTCACTCTCAGACGGTTGTTTATCAGGGTGTTGAAGACAAGGATGTGGTCCCTGGTTCCTCTTTTGGGCCTAAAACCAGCCTGGCTTTCGCACAACACTCCGTTAGTTTCTGCCCACCTGTAGAGCGTGTCAGTCATGATCCGCCAACGTCAAGGAGTGCTATGCCTCTATAATTCCCAGCATCATTTTCGTCGCCCGATTTGTGGATAGGGAAGATCTTAGCCCGGTCCCACCCCTTCACCAGGCTTCCTGTGCGCCAGACCTCTCTCAGTACTAGGAGGAGCTCGCCCAGTCTCTGCGGGGGAAGGCTGGTGCGACACTCCTTTATGATGCCATTTTCACCTGGTGCTTTACGGTTCTTTAAACCGACTTCCTTCTCCGAGAGATCTGCGTTCATCAGGTCCTCCTCCGGGTTGTAGGCTGCCGGTGCCATCGGTGATTGAGCTCGCGCCTGGTTGGCTATTTCGCGATCGAATCCGTGCCAGTCGAAACCTTATACTTATACTTATTCCTCGGCGTTTGCAACTCCCAAGAGTTGCGTGAAGTGGTTCAGCCATGCAGCCTCATCTATATCCCCCTGCATGGATGCCTTCCGAGGTCTATACTTATTAATTGAGGTCCACGTCGACATGCCTTTGCGATTTGCTAACCATTTTTTTTCCAAGTGCTCCTTCTTGAGTTTGAAGAGCTTCCGTAGCTTGCTCTTTTCCACCAGGTGCCTGTCCGTCAATTGTTCATCGTGCGGCTGCTGTAGTCGGGCCTTGAGGCACTCAAAAACCAGTTTTCTCTGGCCCTTGTATTCATCGTCAAGCCACGCCGGGTCTTTCTAACGTAAGACGGCTTTCCTGGACGCTTGATTATGTCCGCTTCCGCAGCCGCCTCTCGGTTAAAATAGTCGTTAGTGCTCCTGGGGATCAGGAAGACCAAATCTCTAGGTCTACGTCTGTTCTGTTGCTCCAAATTTTCTCCAATGCTTTTCGAAAAGTTGAAGCTTTGGAGATGTCTCAATAGATCCTTTCCTCGGATGCCGCCTCCTCCGTGAAATTTTCCCCTTCTGATGGCGCAGGTTTATGAGTGAAAGTTCAAAACGTACCGGAAGATTGTCTGACTCGAGCCGAACGAACACTTCCAGGTCTGTCACCAGTGTGTTTCTGGTATCCTCCTTAACCATTACCAAATCAATTACAGATCTACAGCCTTTTCCAACAAACGTTACCTTGCCCGAGGGATCGCTTTTTGTTGTGCCATTGACAATTATAAGTCCGAATTGCTCGCAAATATCCAGCAACCTCCGTCATTTCGCATTGATCTCCGTGTCCTCCGATCTTCTGGGGTGCATAACAGGCATTTCTTCGTCCTTGGCTAATAGTCCAGGGTGTAATCCTGTGTGACCATTCCAATCCCCCGCCAGGACTAGCGCTTCGGCCTGTGCGCAGGACTTCGATAATTGGCCTCAAGGCTTGAGTTAGTTTACCTGTGCTTCCATTATTGTATGCTGTCACGATTCTCACTGGGACATCCTCAGCGCTTTCAAGCCTTGAATCTACAACCCGTACTCCCATTCACTGACACTCACTTTGAGTCCCGTGGAATTTTTGACCCCAACTAACAGACCACAGAGCCCCTACATCGTCTGTGAACCTTGACTCCTACCTTAGCCTTCCAGCGGCAACTTTTATCCAGTTTGGTGATCCAGTTTTCCGTATATCTTTCCTCTATCCACGTCTCCTATAGCATGACAATGTCATACTTTTTTTAAGAAATTCCAGGCGCGTCCGATGTTTATTGCGCCCGAAATATTCCAGGTGACTGCATGGAGTATTGTTTTAGTAACGGCCTCTCTCTCGAAAGGGCCGATTCTGCCGGAGTCTGTTGAATTCCCCTTCCCGTTCACTCCATCCGCAGCCATAGCCGCCGACGATTAGTTTAGCATAGCCTACTCTAGTGTGCAGCCCTCTTGCCTCTAGCCTGTCTGCCTCGGCTCTCAGCATTCTCTGGATCTCGACCTCTCTCGCCGTGAGCTCGTCATCTAGTCAGCTATCCGCTAGTCCGCTTCATTATGCTAATTTTGTTTCTCAGAGTTTGGAGTTGAATGATTACATTCCCTTCTATAATGATGAACTCTTCCACTTTTGGCACAATCCCAGTTGCTTGCTCCATGATGTCCATGATTTCGTACTGTACATCATTTCTGTTGGCAGGAGGATCCTGGGGCTTCCATCGCCTCACAATGAGGTTCCTTTTCCTGTGTCTCCTGACCTTTAATTCCTCTCTCAATTTTGCTCCTGACAGACGGGACAGAATGCGTGGCTTAACGGAACGTGGATCCAGTCTGGTGTCCGCGCCCCTTTCTCCTTCTTTGGCGCTGTGCTCCCGGGACGAGATTTGGCTCATTTGGACTCGGTCTCATTCTCTGTCATCCGAGACATCCAGGGAGTCTATTCTCGAGTTGAAATCGTATGTTCGACTTCAACAAATCGCATATGGCCCATAAGACGTACCACGAGTCGCATGCGACCTATTGAAATCGAACGCACGATTTCAACTCGAGAATAAACTCCCAGCCTGTGCGGGGCATTCTCATGCATCGCCTGTGGAGTTCGCTCTTCGTCTTGCGTCATCACTTGTGTCCCTAGCGTCGCCAGACTTGGGTTGGTTGGAGAGGGGTCTTGGCTCACGTGCGGGATTTAGCCCCGTGAAGTTAGCAGACCAGGGTCATTAGATTGGGTCGGAAAATATCTAAAAAATACGGGCTTTTTATGGGTTTTTTTTTTGCAAAAAAATTAAATTTTCTGCTTAAATATTTTGACTAAAAAATCGATTTTTGAGTTTGGGGTGTTAAGCTAGCAGACCAATGGGGTCGAATCGGGATAATTCGTGCACAATGGCATAGAATTAAATACGGGCTAATTTTCTGCAAGAAAATAATTCCATTTTTCCGGAATTTTCCGCGAATTTTCAAGGGCCTCAAATGTGGGTCAAATGAGGGTACGGGCAAAACGTGTTCCTTGGACCCTAGCATCGCTTCGCAATCGATTTTTGAATTTGGGGTATTAAGCTAGCAGACCAATGGATTTAAATCGGGATAATTCGCGCACAATGGCAAATAATTAAATACGGGCTAATTTTCTGCAAGAAAATAATTTCATTTTTCCAAAATTTTCCCCGAATTTTCAAGGACCTCAAATGGGGGTCAAATTGTGCGCGAATTATCCCGATTCGACCCCATTGGTCTTCTAGCTCAACACCCCAAACTCAAAAATCGATATTTTGGCCAAAATATTTAAACAGAAAATTTTGAATCGACGTCAAATAGGAGCACATATTTCCCCGAACTTGTCCAGCGATGCTAGGGTCCGAGGACCCGCTTTGCCCCTACCCTCATTTGACCCCCATTTGACATCCTCGAAAATTCGGGGAAAATTCCGGAGAAATGAAATTATTTTCTTCTTATAGAAAATTAGCCCGTATTTAATTCTATGCCATTGTGCACGAATTATTCCAATTCGACCCCATTGGTCCGTTAGCTTAACACCCCAAACTCAAAAATCGATTTTTTGGCCAATATATTTGAGCAGAAAATTTAATTGTTCCGATATTTGTCGACCCGATCTGATGACTCTGGTCTGCTAACTTCACGGAGCTGCAAGATTTGGCTCCTTGCTTCGGTTCCTCCGAGCGCGCCCATGGCTTCTTCGACTACCCATGGTTCCTCTCCTTTTTCTTCTCCACTGGGCCGTTTCCCTGAGTGTCTGCTGGGAGTGCTGTGAGCCCTCCTGCACTGTACTGTTTAACCCGGGTTCTTCAGGGGGGATCTGGTGGCGCATCTATATGTACATCGCTGCGATGCTTTTCCAGAGTCTTCACCCTCTTCCGGAGCACCACCAATTCGTCCGCATTGTTGCATCAGGAGATGCGGTAGAGTCTCTAGACAAGTATTATACGTACCGACCGAATTACGACGCGCCGAGTGTCTACCCTACCGCACTCCTATACGGCAAAATCGAATGACAAGAAAATGAAATGAAAATCTTGCCAAAAATATTAAACTTAGAAGGCCCTTTTTTCATATAATTCCAATTCATGATAATCTTCAAGTTAACGATGAAATAAAAAACAATTCTAATCATTTTCAAATTACTAAGAACAAGAGGACGAAAACTTAATCATGCGGAAATTTTTAGTGGACATCGTAGTTGTGTGGGTAAGCTCATAGACACGCTTTTGTACGGTGTGTGCATCACACCGATGGGAAAGTGTGGACACCGTACCTCGTTACAAAAGAAGGATCGTGGCTGAGTACCCCCACTCTCTCGAATTTAGCTACGATTCGATGTCTCTTACCACTCAGATCCAAGTTCCTTCTTTCCTGGCGACGATTATATGGGTCACACGGATGGGGTCCTCTGGACTCCGTGCCTATATGGTTACGCCGAACTGTAGCTTTAAATGCAAATATCTCGGAAACTATCGAGAAGTTATCGAGACATACTGACTTCGCATTATGCGGATTTTTTTACAAATAACATGATTTTTGATTGATTATTCTAACTCTAATAGTTTTCGAGATATTGATACTTAATTATCGGAGCACGCGGCATTGTCACACAACGCAGCAACGTTTCTGTCGCACCCTAGAGCTTGTACGTGTTGCCTCTGTTCATCCGAGGGCAACAGAGACGCAACTACACGAATCTCTGCGTGAGACAGAGATGCACTGAGTTCGTAGTGTGCTCCGATAGGTACAAATATTAATATCTCGGGGAGTATTCAACTTAGAGAAATGAATAAAAATCACTCTATTAGTTATAAAAATTTTCACAATACTTAGGCAGCATATCTCGATAATTTCTCCGTAATTTTCGAACTATTTGCATCCATGATTTGACAATCTTCATCAATTCGAAAGGAAAAAATTACCAAAGTCTATAATCTATCCGAAAATTTGATTGGTGTCATTTTTCATGATCTATTTTCGCAAAGGAAGAAAAATAGTATATTTTGCGTCTCGTTTATATCTCGCCTTCGGCTCAGCGTGCCAACCTCACAAAATTCGTCGCAACATCGATGTCACATTAGGCCTTGTTAATGGAGCAATTGGAACCGTGATTTCTGTTAATAACGATATTGAAAGTGCAAATATCGAATCCATCACCATTTGCTTAGACACTGGAACAGAGTGTATTATTGAACCTATGGATGTTAAGTTGGAAGTGGGCGTCTACGTGACTCGTAAACGATTCAGTTGCGTTATGGAATAACTGTTCATAAAAGCCAAGGTTTGAGTTTGAAATGCGCTGTGATTGATGCCACAATGACGATTTTCATTCCGGGACAAACATATGTAGCTTTCACGCGTCAAAACACTAAATTGATTACATCTGATGAATTTCAATCCACATTCAGCGAACGGTTTAGCAATTGCCAAATACAACAGATTGCCAGAAATCTATCGTCCTGATTTACCCAAGATTACAATTTCCGATAGACGGTGGCACAAAGTTTGGGATCGGTCTTGGACTTTTCAAGACGCGAATGTAAGTGCAAACTAAAATGAAATGCATAACCTTTTGAGAGCCAATGTGGTTCATGGGTTTGAAAATATTGATCCGGTATTTAGTTATGCAAATGTAATCTTACAATGTTTGATTTATTCTGCGATAATACGAAGAGGTTTAATGAATGAATTGGAAGCCAGTTGGCTGAATTGAATATGATCATCAAATCATACATGCAAGGACAGCAAGATTTGAGTACATCATTAGTCAGGCAATATATATGGGTGAGCAATTCTGTCTAAAAGAAGAACAAGATCCAGCTCTCTTTTTAGAGAAACTTTATGAAAAAAGGACGATTCTTAACGAAATGACAAAGCATATCATGAAAGTCAGTGTTCAATGCAAACGTTATCAATATACACGAATGACTGAAGATTCAAATTGTATCACATTACTCCCGATGCTTCAAACCCGGAAAAGTTTAAACGTTTCTGATTTCATCTCTGAAGCATTTTCTCATTGGCTTGCCACCATGGATATGTGTGAGAATTGTAAGTGTGAAAATCTATTACGTAGGAAAATTGAGATTACGATGCCGAATAAAATTGTCATTCTAAAATTGCCTGTATTCTCAAACGGAGCCAGCGATAATAAGCGAAAAATTTTCCTCCTCAAATCTGTTCCAACTGTTAAAACCAACTCAGGTGGAATTAATTACAAAATTGAGAGTACAATATACCACGAAGGTATCTCCATTAAGGATGGGCATTACAAGACCATGATCAGAGATGAAAAGAATCGTTCCGGATGGATAGAAATTGATGACCTGCGGGTCAAAAAACAAAAATGATCTTACAACTCGAAGGGTGGATTTATGTTCATCTTAGAAAGGGGTAAACAGGGCGTCACTTGAAAATTTCTATTGACTTTTATATCTTCGGATAGAAACGGTCAAAAAAGATGCTATCTCCCAAAAAAACAGAAACATCCTTTTTTTGCCAAAAAACAAGGCAATTGATTTGCTGAAAAAATCATGCTTTCGAGAAAAATTGAAAAAAAATGAAATCACAGTAATGCCAAAAAAATACATACATTTTTACAAAAAAAAACAAGCAGGGCTGTAAGCCTTTTTAGCAAAATCTATGTGACATTTACTTTTTTTTTCCTACCAATTCCATTGGTAATAAGCTTCCGAATGGATCCGTATAATTTCGCAGATGATAACTACTCAGAAAGCTATTCATATTGATGCTTCTTCCATGATGGTGCGTACCATCATGGAAGAAGGAATCATGCTTCAATATCAATTAAATTATTTCGAGTCAAACTTTCTCTCTTTCTGTATTTTCAGTCTGGGTTTTTGAAAGAGAGTTGGGTTGAAGGCCCTAGAGAATTGGAGTGTTATTTCAGTTAGTAAATAACTGAAATTTCATTACAATTGCCTTCAACAGGCGCGTTGTTGACGGGGCGATAACTTTTCAAAAGTGGGAATAGTGTTGCATATTTGTTCTTTTCCTCCCTCTCAACCAACTTCATGTTCGATCGTTCTTTTTTTTTAAGATGTTTTTTTCTATTCCACGGACGCGTCCTGTCACTATTTGTAATTTTTTTGCTATTCATTTGGCCCCAAAATCGTTAATAAAGTTATTATTCATTTAAATCAGGGAAGGTCAAGAGGTGCTCATCGAGTGATCGCAGTTCTCGGACCCAATTACCGAAGTTACAACAGATGTCGGCATTCGCCCTGAAGCTTGTTCTCATTCGAGATATTTCGAGTTCGACTTTTTTTAATTCAAGTGTTTTCCTTTCTGTCTTTTTTTATAGAGGGTGTCTTTTTTTATATAGGAGAAGGATAAGGAAACGCCATTTCCTCATTTTGGGATGAAAGTCACCCCATTAGGTGTAATAGTCACATTCACCCGAGTATTTCACGATAAAACACTGTATCCAGTGTCTAGACCATGAGAGGAAGAAACTAATGACTTGAAAATTGTTTTCTTGAATTCGTATTGTCTCCAGATCGCACCCTAATTTCTATTTCTTCTGTAATAGATGGCTCAAGCTGCCCACGCAGTGCAGATGGCACGCGCTCATCATCGACGTCTTCTAGCTCAGCTTCCTCCCCATGTTCGTAATCATCCATGAGTTAATTAAGTATTTTCATTTTCATCGAATCTTATATAAACAAAGAAGAAAAACGACAGAAAAATTTCAAAGTTTTATGTTACTACAAAAATGATAAAAAAAATTTATACTATGATTGATTGTTTAATGTTTTTGTGTTGGTACTCCTAAAGATAAATTATTCCATTTAGATCAAAAGATCTCAAGAATAATATTATCTAGTGCGTTGTTATGTGAATTTAAAAAAAAAACGAAAAGGGTACCTGAAAAAATGTTCCTAAATAAATATTTGCATTTTTATATTAAGTTCGTGTGTCTTTTTGTCTTTCATCCCAATTGATGTCTCTGATGTAAACATGCTAAATTCCACATTTTTCCCTAAAGATGATAGTTTATATAGCGTTCAACATCTTGTGACACCGCCGAATATTGTTAGATAGAATTTTGGAGTAGGTAGAAGGAGCAACAGGATGAATCTCGATATTAGTTTACAAGAAAAATCTACTAATGAAAAAATGGAAAGTTCGGAAATTCGAGTTTGGGATTTTCCCGTAATGCATCGGGTGCACTGTCCGACTGACTGGCTCCAGCGCGCCCGAGTCGAAAAATGGATTGTTCCGAATCTTTCTTGTGTCTTCCAAGTCGCTCCGATTTTTCCATATATCGTTAACGACAGCCGAAGACATGGGGAAGACCATAGTCGTCTCCCAAGAGGATAGACCTGAGTAGAGGCCCGGATCGGGGGGTTTAACTGACTCCAAAAAAGTTAGTTGGTACCCCACGGGAAAGGCGGCGTCCCGGTCGAATTGTCGGTAAATGTGAGTCGGGTGCGTGAGTAACTCGGCCGTAGCAGTCCCGCTGTCACAGGGACGGGTTCGGAGAGGTATTTTTGTCCTCCTTGTACTCAATTTACTTCATGTTTTTCAGTTGATTTATTCGCCGACTAATTAATATTAAGGGATCAAACAAAGACTGTTCAATGGAGAATTAAATTCTCCATCCATCAACCCCCGTTTCATCCCTTAATCTCTGCAATAAAAAAATTATTGGGCGCTATAAGAAACCCAATCTTTTCTCGGTGCAGAGTGACTAGCCATTAATTCGCCCGCTAATTAAAAAATCGTCTCTTTTCTCCTAATTAATATTAAGGAATGAAACCAATGCTGTTCGATGGAGAATTAAATTCCCCA